CGCGCCGGCCCGGGCCGCACCGCTACGGGCTCCGCGCGAGCGGGCCATGTCCGCTTTCTGCCTGGGCTTGGCCCGCCGCGCTTCAGCACCCTCCGAGTCGGACAGCGCCTGCTGCATGGAGCTGCGAGCCTCGGCCGAAGACGCAGTCGGGAGTCCCGCCGCCGCTGCCGCCGCCGCCGCCGCCTCCCCCCTCGTCTCCTTCCCCGGGGGCCCTGGGGAGCTAGAACTGGCCTTAGAGGAGGAGCTGGCGCTGCTGGCGGCCGAGGAGCCGCCGTCCGATGCCAGGGAACATCCTGAGGCCGAGCCCGGGCCTCTGGCCGGGGGGACCGGTCCGCAGCCGCCTCCCGCCCAGGACCCAGAGCTGCTGTCAGTGATTCGGCAGAAGGAGAAAGATCTGGTGTTAGCCGCCCGGCTGGGCAAGGCGCTGCTCGAGAGGAACCAGGACATGAGCCGGCAGTATGAGCAGATGCACAAGGAGCTGACCGACAAGCTGGAGGTGAGGCCCTCTTAGGGTGGGTGGGAAGCAAAGCCACCTAAGGTACCCTTCGAGGCTTGAATAATTTGGGAACCCATTCTCTCCCTACCCTAGTCCGTGCTCGCCCTACATTAAGGAAAACCCTCAGGAATGGGAGGTAGGAGGGAGGATTTCTAATTATCAGATCAGAGCATCCATTGAACCCACCTGACTCACAGCAAATGGGTCCATGCACGGCTCCCAGCACTGTGGGCCGTTCTATATATGTACTGTACACTGCATCTAAAATAGAGCATACAGTGTGACTAATTTATACAGCACCGAAACAATGTCTGCACACATGAGGAAGTCGGGAAGCATTCAAAATATGCTTCAGGTCCTCAGAGAAGTAGTTAATCTCTAATCAGAGTGTTAGCCTAAAGCTTCCCAGTTTTGGCATTAAGGCCTCTAAATGCCCTTGTCTTAATTTCATGGTGCCTCAGAGTTGTAGGAAACTAGTGCCCCTAAGGGAGTTTTATATAGCCTTCAAATACTCAGGGATTAAGAACTGTGGTTCCATTGCAGAAATCAGGCGAGGCAGGGTTCAACATGTGACCTCTGGTAGTGGATTTAATGTGGCCCTCAAAATTTGTGTGTGTTTAAGCAGTACTTTTTTTGTGTTTGAGGTCTCATGCCTACAGTTGGATGACACATGCAACCTATGAGAACTGTAATGGTTATAACTATTGTTATAAATAACCTTTAAAGTATCTAAGTTTTCTCCCAGTTTCTTGGATCAAAGTCTTTCAGAGCTATACTTGTTTGTTTTCTTTCCTCTGAACTAGAAAAGGCTTTGAATCCAGTACAGAACTCTATCGGTCTTAAAAATTTGTGATTTTAAAGGAAGGGTAGGTCATTAATGAGCAGTGGAGACAAAGCTTGTCATTTTCTGACTCTGCATTTACTGCTATTACTCAGTTTGGTTACAATTAATTCTTTTTATTTTTAGTTACAACAAAAAGTAGTTGCAGACTTGAGTAAGATCTGAAATTGATTCTGGTTGGGTTCCATATTACTAGTTGAACAATCAGAATGTAGATTCAGGAATATTTAGTAAGATTTAAGTGTTTGTAATCTGGTGACGTGTGGAAAGTACTATCAGGGTAAAGAAGGAAACCAGTGAGTGCCCTGTAGTTCACTTGACCTGATAACTAGGTCTGCCAGTCGATGAACTCCCGAGATACATCTCTGAAAAGTCATTTGTGAGACCTGTGAATACACTGCGTACAACCAACCTAATGAATTGTGAATTGTTTAATTTGCACTTGAAGTAGAGGCCTAGAAATAAAAAGAGTGGTTTTTTTCCTAAAGAGATTTCAGTTACACAACTCTGTAAAGAAGTACTACTGCAGAGATTTATACTTGTGATTGGAAATTCCCTCAGTGAGGGAATTGATTAAAGAGATAGCTAACTTGAAAGGAACATCCTATCAGTTTGCTTAATGACAGATTTCATAGTAATCCTGAGTGTGCAGTTACACACATCCTGGTTTCCATGTGGAGCCTTTATACATTTCTTCAACAAAGGAAAATGATTTCACAATTCTTCTGAATAAAAAAAGTTTTATTTTAGAAGAATAAATTACATTTGGAATTTTGCAGTTGACTCAATGGGCAACAATTGAGTAGTTCAAACCTCTTAAACTATTAAGAGCTTCACTGTTCTGCAGGCCAGTGTGTTTTAACACACTGGTGTTAAAAATTTATTTTTAAACTCTAGCGGTTGCTCTCACAGATACTGTGAATGTACTTAACACTACTGACCAGCACACTTAAAAATGGTTATGATAGTAAGTTGTATGTTATGTATATTTCACTACAATTTAAAAACAACTAAATTTAAATTTTTATTCACTTGATAAAAAATTTTTAAAGTTTATGCTAGTTTTAGTTGTAGGTATATTTGAAAATGATGAAACCAATCTCTGTCAGATATTGGAATCAAACATTTTCTCACAAGTTGGTTCGAAAGGTAAATATGAGTGGACTCAGAATGGTGGCTTTGCTCTTAAATTAGACTAGGTTTATTTTAGTCTCGTCACAACTTCAAAATCAATACTTTTCTGTTCGTGATGGCACATGCCTGTAGTCCTAGCACTTGAGTGGCTGAGGCAGGAGGATCACTGCTAGTACAAGGCCACCCTAGGCTACAAAGTGAGTTCAAGGCCAGCATGAACTATATAGCAAGACCCTGTCTCTAAAAACAAAATTGATGCCTTTCTAACTTTAGGACAAACAAGCTATTTTCAAGATCTTTTCTACCTAGTCACGAGTTAAAAACTCGTTAAACCCAAGATTTTTGTTATTGTTGTTACTACTGGGAGTTGAACCAAAGGCCTTTCCATTGAGCTACATCCCCAGCCCTTTTTTAGTTTTTTGTTTTTCAGGCAGGATCTCTCTGAGTTGCCCAGACTGGGCTTGAACTTGCAGTCTTCCTGCCTCAGCCTCCCAGCAGGTGTGCACTACCATATCCGCCAAATACAAGATTTTATTTTTGTCATTTCCAGCATAAAGTACTTGATCCAGGCTATTCCCTCATTAAAGGCATACTACTTAAAGCCTTCACTGGTTTAGAAGTTAACATAGAAGTTTTTTTAGCTGTCTTTCAGAGTTAAAATGAGAACTTGGATTAAGTGGGAAAATGTGGCCATTTTTTTCAACCTTGAATTAACTAGACTATATTTTATTCAGTCAGTCAGATTTTCATATATTTAAAATTCTTAAGGCTTTTTTGTTTCTTTTGCCTTTGTAATTAGTCCTTTTTATTTAAAAACTTACATCCAGCCAAATCTTTAGTTTTTTCCTAGAATATGAACTCAGATGCTAACTTGCATTTATACACTTTTGTTCTTCAGGGATTAAAAATTTATTGTTGTATGGGATTCCCTTTTTTATGGCTGGAAGTGCATACCCTCTTATTGCAAATGTAGTCTCTGTCCTCATATTTTCCTCTTCTTCCTGTAGGCAAATTCTCATGGTTGTAGTACATTTTTGGAGTCACATTACTAGGGATTGTACCCAGGACCTTGTGCTCATGAGTTCTACCACCGGGCTACACTCCCAGTCTTTTGCCCAGGCTGGCCTGAAATTTGCAGTCCTCCTGCCTCAGCCTCCTGAGTAGCTAGGATTACAGGCATGGTGCCACTACACCCAGCTGTCTACTACTATTTTTTTTTTTTT